ATGGCCCTCAAGATTGTTGTTTTCGTGTGCGTTTACTGACTTAGACATTTTGACCTGAAATCAAAAAGATCTTGGACAAGAAAAAGTGTGAAAGATAACTTGCGTTATGTAGTAAACCAGCAAGAAAACAATCACTATTATTTTAAGCCCCACGGTGGGCGCCAAGCTGTTTACCTTGAAAATGGTAATAACAATTAGATTTGATTTTGTAATTCTAAAAATATGTAATTTATTTTTATGCTAGTTGTTAGGCAATAGATGCTAGGTGAAGGATTAGAAATTAAAATGATAGATCGTAGATAATGTAATAATCGAAGCGAATGGCAGATCGAGCTTGTTTATTCGGGGCCTCGAGGTCGAGTCGGATGCACTGCCAAGGGCAGTCGATGGAGGATTAACAGTTAGGAGAGCTGCGATTGCGGCTCTTTCTGACCAATAATGAGCAATAAAAAAATAACAATTAATAGAACACAGTGAATATAAGCAATAAATGTAAATAATGAAACCAAGTGAATGTGTTCAAGCTAGAGAGCAGAGAATGTTCTTGTATTGAATGTAGTGTGTTGTATCTTGAGTATCAGATCCCTTTACAAAATGACAAGGGTCCCCTTTATATATGGAGGGAAATCCCGACATAGTACATGGGTAATTATTACAAAGAAATATAGCTGGCATAGCTACTTACTAGTCTGGCACAGACTAGTATTTTCCCTTGCAGGTTTTGTCAGCTTTGATCATATGCCTTGGGAACCGCCCGCTAGCGCGTCGCAGCCATTGGTTTGCATTGCCTCGAGGTCGATCATTATGAACCCTTAGGGGCGAACTCCGAGCTAGACTTCGGCCTCATTTGTTTTTTTTAAGATTAAGACGTCTAAATCTGAATATCAAGATGTGTATTAAGATTGAGACATCTGAATCTGAATACATGTCTGAGTATATTAAGATGTGTATTAAGATCTGAATACTAAAAATTAAGACTGTTTGATTTTTAACATCCGAATGCATAAAATTTAACTTTATTTGAAAAAAATCTAATATTCTATCAATAAAATATATAGTTTTTTAAAATATGATAGTTGTTGGTGGTGATGGCTAACGGGTGAATGCCGACTAAAGGCGATGGTTGGTGGTAGTTTTGGTTGATGATGGTGGTTCATGCTAGTAGCTAGTAGTGATTGGTAATGGTGGGATTTATAATTGATGATGATGGTGGTGGGTGGTGGGTGGTGGGTGGTGATAGTTAATAATGGCGGGTGGTGGTTTGTGATTGAAGAAGGTGGTGGTAGGTTATAATGATAGACAGTGCCGGTTGTTGTTGTTAATGGTGATGGGGTGGTTGGTTGTGGTAGTTGAGGTGGATAAGTATTGACTGTGGGTGAGAATGATGGTGGTCGGAGTGGTGGGATGGTGGACGGTGATGGTCGATAATGGTGGCGGCTATGATTGAGGATGATGGTGGCGTGATGGTGGTTTTAGTGGTGGTGGTGGTGGTGTGGCTGAGTATGGTGGTGGTGGTGGCATGGTGTAGTTGATAATGATAGGCGATAGCTGCAGTTAATAATGAATACGTGATAACATCTTAATGAAATTAAGTCTATGTTACAGATGTTAATCATACAGACCTATTCAGACCCATTAAGTGGTTGTTAAGTAAAAAAAACAAACACACTTAATGATTAAGATCTGAATAATCAAGATTCAGATTTTAAAAACAAACGCACTTATTGTCTGAGATATGAATGATTAAGATCCAGACCTCCATTAAGTGCAAACAAATGAGGCCTTCGAGCCTTCCGGGGGTGGTCCTTTTTTAGGCGCCCTAGTGATCATAAAATCGAGCCCTCTGATTTTTACCGTATACAGTAACTAACAGATTTACCCCATTATTGCTGTGTGCCTCATATCTGCCTATGATTTATTATATTTCTTTATTGGACCTCTAGTAAGTGTCGATGTCGACCCCTCGCCGCTATTTCTCCCGGGTTAGGCTAGATACTTACTGGGTACACGTTGATTTACGTACTCATGTTGCACTTGTGCACTAAGTGTGCAGGATCTGACATGTTCAATTGGCAGTTATCTTGGTGCGTAGGCGCAACTGTTGAGGAGACTTTAGGATGAGCTACATACCAGACTACGTATCACCGCCCACAGAGTCTCCATCATACCTTTTACTCTACCCTGTCTTATTTACATTCCAGACAGATGTTGTATTGTTATTATACTCCTTAGTAAACGTTCATGCACTTGTGACACCGGATTTTGGGATGTTCTAGGAGTTGCTTGTGATTTTCCTTAGCATTACACACTTATATTATCTATTCTGTTAAAATTGTAAATTTCCATGATTTTTATGTGTTGATCTATTCATCTAATAAAGATTACGATTTTTCAAAAATAATAAAGTTCATAACTAAATTAGTAGTTCACAATTGTCTTGCCTAACGATGACGTTGAGCACCATCACGACCTATAGTGAGTTTTGGATCGTGACAAGTTTAAATCCTCAAAAAAAAAAATTAATCATATTAGTGATTAAAAGATAATTAAGTACTTGAATTGACCTTTTTCCATGGATTTGATTAACTAACTAGAAAAATAATCCAATTTTATTCCTTTCCAAATTCACCAAAGTAAAATTATTTTTCAAGTTTACACAAAATTTAGAGTACATAAATTATTTTTCAGAAAAAAGACCATCGACGATACAAGAAATCAGAATATAAAATAAAATTTAATTATAGTATTACGAATTAAATTGGTTAAATGCAAATTTGAATAAATAAGGACGAAATACTAGAAACCAAAATATATTCATAAATAGATGTCAGGTGAGATACAATTTATCATATTCGTAAATTATATTATAATATATATATATATATATATATATATATATATATATATATATATATATAATTACATAATAATGTACAACTAATTTAACTAAATTCATTATTTGTGCATATTCAAAAGATATTTAGTAAGATTACTATGCGAAAAATTATTTTTATCATCTAAATAAATATTGTATTTAATTTTAGTAGGGCTCATTTGGTAGGGTGCATAAGAATAATGCTGAATAGGGTGTATTAGTAATGTTGGTATTAGTTATGCTTGCATTAGTTATGCTGGTATTAGTTATGCTGGCATATTTTTTATCCATTGTTTGGTTTAATGTATTAAAGCATTGCATAATTTCTAAAAGCATTGCTTGTTTACAAAAATGCCCAAAACCAATCCATCACTCTAACTTTTTAAAAGAAACATATGTTGAAAAATGTTTTTATACGAAAAAGTTTAAAAAAAATTATTTGATTTGTCTACCTATTGTAATATAGAACTAAATATTTATTTATAAAAAAAATATATGCTAAGTATTTATTTATTTACTAGAGATATAATTTTATTTCTCACTATTTGGATTATTTTAAATTTGCATTAATATAATAACTAGCATATTTTAATCAAGCATAAATTTTGAAGGATAATTTTGTCTTTAACTAAGCTAATGCATGCATTAAAACCCATTGCATTGCTAATACCATGGTTTTCTATGCATTAGTTATGCATAGGATAATACCAAATAGGATGTATAACTAATGCTTGCATAATCAATGCATAAGTTTAAAATGACTACCAAATAATGTATTATTAATATACAAAGCTAATGCATCCTGCCAAACGACCCATAGTTAAAAGGCAGAATAGCCTAAATGGCACTTATACTTGTGCCACTTTGTCATCTCGGTCCCCAAACATAATGAAGTTTCATCTAGACACCTCTACTCGTTCAAAAATAATATTTTAAACCCTTCTGACCATTGACCAAGCCTATGTGGCATTTGCTTTGCTGAGTTGGATAAAATGCGTGACTACACGCATTAAGAAGCGAGTAAAAGTTTATGATTTTAATTAAAAATACCAAAAAATGAAAAGAAAAGAAAAAAATAAAGGGGGGTTAACGCCCAGAAGCATCAGTTTTATGGCGATTGCATTTTATGTTCTTTGAACACAAGCTAAACTCTTGGAATTTATTCATTTCCTCGTCTTGATTGTCTATGTTTTGGATCCATAAAACTACATATTTGTTGGTTTTCAAATTGAAAGTAAAAAAGAAAAAGTTGTGGCTTAATTGAAAGCATAAATTTTGAGGCTGTTAACTAACAGCTACTTAGTTTCCTTATGATGCAGTTGGAGGAGTGTATAGCGCTGAAAGGTTTAATGGCTTATTAGCTACAAACTGGAAAAGCTTTGCACGCCAGAATTACTTCGATTCACACGGGCCACGACATTTTTCTTTCCACACTCTGGTCTGGGCCTCTGTTGGTTATTGCGATAATAATCTTGGTGAGTTTATTTGGTCATTCCTTTCTGTTTGTTTCCGTCATTTCTAGTGTTTTCACTCACTAATTTGCTGCGCACTTCTCTTCTTTCCAGGTTAATACCCTCTTTTCACTATGTTACCTGATTGTGAGGTGGAAAAAAGCCGAGCTTAGACACCGGGCCAGACTAGCTCGTAACAAGGAGGATTAACAAACATAGTGCTGCTCTGCTATGACTAGAGCATAGGGTAGGCTCTGCTAATGGTTGATTTTCAGAGAGAGATAGGCATGAATGTGTTTGTGAGAGAAAACTTTAGGATTCAACTTTTTCTTTTCCAAAAATAGTTTTGTGAATAAAAATAATGACATGGAATATTTTTATTTGACGTGGATAATACAACGAGACGATTGAGGAATATACATGGTCAGAAGGGTTTAAAATATTACTTTTGAACGAGTAGAGACGTCTAAATGAAACTTCATTATGTTTGAGTACCGAGATAACAAAGTGACACAAGTATAAGTGTCATTTAGGCTATTCTGCCTAGTTAAAATAAACAAACCCCAATATATGCAACCGCTGTACTTTATCTTTTTGTTTATTTATTCTATAAAAGAAAATGTCCTTAAAAGTACTACTAGTCGAAGCTAAAACAACAGCACTTCATGGGTCTTCCCAGATCTCAACGCAAATCCAGCGACTGTCGATTACCAATGTTATGCCATCAGTGCTTTTCGCACATTTGCGCTAATCGCAGTAATTTCCCAAAATAGGCGGGTCTTTTTTTTTTTTTCAGTACAATAGGCGGGACTTTTCGAAAAACTTCTACGACTTCCCCTCTCACCCACAGTTTTCCATCTCTTTTTTGCCCTACCTTTTAAGTTTTAACTCTTACCCAAACCCTAACCCGCCAATAGTTTTTTCACCTCATCTTTCTTCTACTTAAGTTTTAAGTATATAGATAAATACTACTTTGGTCATAATTGAAAGAATTTGAACCGCATACGCGATGAAGGATAGGGGAGAAGGCAAGGGTAAGATGGTAAAAGAATATCTGCCATGAAGTGCGATTCCAAACGGCGCCGTTCCATCTCAAACAAGTCAGGAAATACTGCTAGTAAAAAAGGTTCAGCACAGGTTACTTATTTACTGAGGGAGGAGGAGATCAAGGGAGGGTAAACAGTTTGCGTTTTGGTTAGCGAAAAGAGCTTCTTGAAAAGGGGGATAGTAATAGTAATGGGAGAAGGAGAGGAGAGTGAAAATAAAGGAAAGGGAATGGAATCTCCAGCGGGCGGTGTGAGTATTATGGAGGAAGAGAAGGAAATTGGGGATACTGAGGGAAAGTTTGCTTCTTTTGAGGAAAAGTTAGACGCTAAAGAAGAAGGGAAGGTTTTGACGGAGGTTAATGATCGAAAACCAAAAAGAAAAAGGGGGAGACCCCCCAAGAAAGATAAGGAAAAGAAGAATTTTTCAGAGGGGAATGTTGTAATGGAGGAAAATATTGATAAAGAAGAATCTGAAGAGAAAGAGGTTCCTTTGAAGAAAAGCAATAATCTTGTTATGATGGGTAGGGAAAATAATGACGTGAATGGAAAACAAGAGGAAATTGATCGCGAGAGAGAAGAGGAGGAGAAACAGAAGATTGACTCTAATGAAGTGACTGGCAGAACAAGGAAGTCAAGTCAAATAGCTATGGAGAAGTTAAAGGGATTTAATCAGCAAATGGCTGAATGGGATGAAGAAGACCGCAAAACAGGTAGAAAAAGAAGGGGTCAAAGTCGGAAGGGTGGCACGAAAACAGAAGATAATGGTGATAGTGAGAAAATTGGAAGTAAAAACCGCAGAAGAAAGAGGTCGAAAGATGCCGCAGAGAATGGTGATGGAAGTGGTGGAGATTCTGCAGAGGAGAGTAGAGAGCAGCAGAGAGAAACGAGTAAAAAGCATAAGGCTGAGGGAGAAGAGAAAGAGGAAGGATCAGAGTCCCGAAATTCTACTCGTCAAAGGAAAGATGTGCACGATAATGCAGTAAATCCCCGAAACAGAAAGAGGAAGGATGAGAATGTAAAGATGTTAACATTATTATGGATTCTTGATTGAAAAATCTCATTTAGTTTATTCCTTTAGAGTATGAGTACTAAACCCTAATTATCTTTGTTTTGAAATCAAAACATGGACAGGGGAATGAATTTGAATCCAATATGTGTCATCAGTGCCAGAGGAATGACAAAGGAAGAGTTGTTCGGTGTACCCGCTGTAAAACAAAGCGATACTGTGTTCCTTGCATGAACAGATGGTACCAAAAACTTTTACCAACTATAATATAGTTTCATTTGTCAGAGTAACTGTTTTGAACTTTTAATTGTAAGTTGGACTTGCAAAGAGACAAAATACTTTGCTCCTTGTGGCTTTACTTGAGCAATTGTCTCTTGATGAGTGTCAACTGCAACACTTTAACAACTTGAAGCTTTATATATCCAGTCTATTTTGCCCAATGTTGTCAAATGTCAACTGCAACACCAATTTTCATTCATTTGTGTAGTTTACTTTTCGTTTTTCTTATCAGAGCCTTTTACCTTTATGATCAATAATAGGTACCCTGGGATGCCTGAGGAGGCCTTTGCAGAGTCTTGTCCTGTTTGTCGTCAAAACTGTAATTGCAAATCATGCTTGCGGTTGGACGGGCCAATAAGGGCTGGTTTCTTCACCCATTCCACTTTTATTAAGTTACTGTCCTATTTTGCAAGTTAACAGTGTATAATACACTCTTCTTATCCGAAATTTTCTTGCAGACATTGAAGAACTTAGAATTTGAGATTAGCGAAGAAGAAAAGAGTCTATATTCTAAATTTATCTTGCAAACACTTTTGCCTTTCTTGAGAAGATTCAACGCAGAGCAAGTGATGGAGATGGAGATTGAAGCTAGGATTCAAGGTTGCATTGTCTCCTTTAAGATAGGATGCCATAATAGTTCAATATACTTTTTCGTGTGATATGCCATATTCTTTTCATCTGGGCAACTGTTAGTATGCATTTTAGCTTCTGTTAGGTGATATATATATATATATATATATATATATATATATATATATATATATATATATATATATATATATATATCACCACAGCTAGAAAAGATAACAAAATAGCCACTTCTCTTCCATGTATATGCAGAGTGTTGAGTATGAAAGGGTTTGAAGAGGGAATACTGTAACATACTAGTTAGTATTTCCTATATAAGAAAATATAGTTCCGCATAGTAGGTAGAGAGAATAATCTTTCCAGGAAAACCTAATGTGTTAATGCATCTTCAACTGCTTCCTATCGTAACAAGAATCCCCCTCTCCCCATTTTTTTTTCATCTGGGCAGGGTTACCAGTGTCAGAGTTAAAGCTGCACAAAGCAAAGTGTCAGAAGAATGAGCGAATGTACTGGTAAGCATGAAGAACCTCTTCTTTCCATGTCAATCTTTTGGAATTATGTTCCAGTACAGTAAGTTGAGCAATGTTTTGTGCAGCAACAACTGCAAAACATCCATTGTTGATTTTCACAGAAATTGTTCCAGCTGTTCCTATGATCTTTGCCTTACTTGTTGCCGGGAGCTTAGAGATGGTCACCTTAGGGGAGGTGAAGAAGAAGTCATCTTGGAATTCACTGACAAAGGGCTTGGTTATTTGCATGCTGAGGAGATACCCGGATACAAACCTATAAACTTTAGGAGGACTAGATCTTCCAAGAAGGAGATGGTTAAAAATGATTCAGTGGAAGATGCCAAGATTGCATGTGAAATGGAATCTAAGGATAACGGAGGGCTTCTGTCAGAAAAATTTGGTGGTCCTGCTGGTGAGTGGAAATCGAATGAAGATGGTAGCATCCCTTGTCCACCAGAGAATTTTGGTGGTTGTGGTAAGGGAATTTTAGAGCTGAAGTGCCTGCTGACAAAGCCAAAATGTCAGGTCACTGAGTTGTTGGCAAAAGCTGAAGATATTGCCAAAAGATTTGAATTGGAACACATGCCTGAAATTCCTCAGGGGCCATGCTTATGTAGAAAGTCAGTGGATGAAAATGATATGCAGAACAGTAAAATGTGTAAAGCAGCATCTCGTGACGATTTTGATGACAATTATTTATACTGTCCAGCAGCTAAAGATCTTCAGCAGGAGGATCTGAAGCATTTCCAATGTCATTGGCTGAAAGGTGAGCCTGTGATTGTCCGCAATGTGCTTGAGACTGCGTCAGGGTTAAGCTGGGAGCCCATGGTTATGTGGCGAGCATGTCGCCAGATAAAGAACTTAAACCATCCTCTTCTTTTGGATGTTATTGCTATCAATTGCTTAGATTGGTGTGAGGTCAGTTTAATACTTGCGAGTATCACATTCATCAAAAATCTCTCCTTTTCTAAGTAATTTTGTTTGTCTTGCTAATCAATTTCTTAGTTTTGGTAGACATTTAATTATTTTAGTTAAGTTTAACAAAATTTACTTTCAGAATTATATCAAATATTCTGTCCATCAGTGCAGTGTATCAGTTTTCTTTCTCTTGCTTAGGACTTAATTATATTACAAATAGAAGTACCAATCAATATACAATTTATATCAAAATCTAAGCACTTGATTTTTAATACAAAGTGTTTTTGTATGATTTTAAACTTGTTAGTATGTGTAGGTTAAAGCAACTTAATGGTTGTGATTGTAGGTTCCAAGTATCTCTTTGAATGTTTTCCTATTGGATTATGTTTGTTCTTTGCTCGGTACCTACCTTTACTAGTGATGACTTTTTCTGGAACTAGTTAAAATGCCATATAGTTTGTTTAGGGTTTAACTTCTGAGCTACCTAACTCTTTAATCGAGTAGGTTATTCTATTAATTGTGCATAATGTTGCTTTCTCTTTAATTCATCAAATATATGTTCTTTTGAGTGCTCGGAATCTATAAGCTGCTTGGGTCTAATTTTGTCTGACGTAGTACAATTTAGAAGAATAACTTGATTAACGTTTGTTCTAATTTTAGAAGTTGATATTTTTTCATTTCGAAACTTCATGAAAAATACCACTAGCCACTTACTTTTTGACTTAACGGTAATACTCCCTTCGTTTCAATTTAGATGATGTAGTTTGATTTGGCACAAAGTTTAAGAAAAAAAAGACTTTTGAAACATGTGGTCCTAAAGGCTTAAAGGGTAAAAGCTTTGTGACATTTTTGTGGCTATACATGCTTCTCATTAAAGGGCAAGTGGGTAAAATAAAAAGTTTAAAGTTAAATTGTTTTCAAATATAGAAATTTGTCATTCTTTTTGGAATAGACTAATAAGGAAAGTATGTCATTTAAATTGGAACAGAGGGAGTATGTGCTTGCGGTCAGAGGATAAAGTTCATGACTTCGAATAAAAGCAAAGTCAATATATATGAGATTGAAGGAGTATAGAGGGGAGCATTAACTTTTTTCCATTTACTCCCTTTGTCACATTTTATGTGGGACTGTTTGGCTAGACACGAACTTTAAGAAAGAAAGACTTTTGAATTTGTGGACTAAGATAAGTCATAAATATTTGTGAATAAATCACCTCATTAAGTGTAAAATGAAAAATTTAAAGTTAACTTATATCTAATATGAAAATGTGCCATTCTTTCTAAGACAAACTAATAAGGAAGTGTGTCTCATAAAATGGGACGAAGGGAGTAATATATTTTGCTATGAAGTACAAACCTAGTAGCAACCTCAGAAATTTCAGACTAAGCAGTGTATACAAATGTTAGACCCAATGTTCAATCTTTTACCATTTCTTATAAAGAAATTAAAACTGTGTTGGAACATGCTCTTGTTTGGTCCTTTTTTTCTTTTTGCGGCATGTGCCTTTTGTGTCTATTTTATATATGTGTTTTTATCTTTTTTATTCTTGTACTTCGAAACAACAACAATATACCAAGTATATTCCTACAAGTGGGGTCTGGGGAAGGTATTTTGCAAGAAGTATTGAATAAAGGATGAAGAATGAAGTAAAAGATAAATCACGTTTTTGGAACCGGCATCACATAGTTTTCCTTTCTAACGACTTGGGAAATGTGCCTACTTTTTCATCCACCTTCGGACTCCCTTTCTGGTGGAATTTCACTCCTTTTCCGGTGAAATTTCTCCTTCGCGTAGCATGGGGGAAAAGCTCTTCTTTATTTCAGGTGACAAGTCCTACGAGCTTATCGACATCAGTGAAGACAATGAAAGATGGTTCTTATGGATTGGAAGGGGCAGTAGATTTACAAGTAAAATTAAGATTGATGAGGACAACATCACATGGGTATGTGAGCAAATGTACCAAGCTTCACGGGGCGCCGGGAATCTCTACAGAAGGTGGGGGAGAAAGATACAAGCCTACTTATACAGGGTATACCAAAATTACAATGTTTATGGCAGATACATCAGAATTGAAACTTGGATTGGAGACAGGAAATCTGCAATCATAATACCAGAAAACGATTACAACAGGGGGCGGGGAGATATAACAGGAAGAATATTACAATTTTTGGGGAAGGCTTCCAACTACAAGCTCAAAAAATTTGCAGATGTACAAAAGAGATCCTTTCTAGTGGCTGCAAAGATTCCACAATGGCCTACACAAGTTAACGAGCAAGTAGATGTTGTTGCTGCTACTGAAGGTGTTGCTGCTGACGATGAAAGCTCCCAATTCCTATCCAAGTGCCTGATTGGATGTTTCAACGACCCTTTCAATCAAAGCCCCAAAGCTGAAGTCATCCAAAAATGGTTTATCACAAGGTGGAAAGTAACAGCCGGTCTCATGGTCACTCCGATGGCTCACAATCAGTTCCTCTTCGAGCTACCATCGAGACAGGAAGCACCTAGGGTAAAAGCAGGGGATTGGTTCTGGAATGGTAGACACTTAACCCTTGAGTGGTGGTCGCCGGAATCTGGATCATCTCCAACCAAAGGTGAAATGGGACAGAAGTGGGTCAAAGCCTTTGGAATTCCTCTGCATGGCTGGACATCAACAACTTTTCGCTTCATAGGAGATAAGTTTGGAGGATTCATAGGCACCGATGAGGACACGAAAAACAGGGCACACATGTTCTGGGCCAGAATCTGTGTAAAAGACAAGGAGATGAGTTACCCAGGGGTTGTCGAGTTAAAAATAGGCATCAGGAGCTACAAGATTTTAGTTTTGGAGGACGTAATCATAAAACCTGCAAATTCCGGCGAGGTTTCAGTCGCCGTTGGAGTAGAGAAGGCGGCAGTCTTTGATAAACCCTCCTCGAGTCAAGCGAAGGACCCAACGAACAACCCAGTGGTCTTTAACCATAATAGACCGATCACCTTTAATTCAAAAGTGGCTGACGTGGCAGCCTCAAACTCAAGGCATACGTACAAGTTATACAAGTTACCAACTGTGAGGCATACTAAATCAAATGGTGGGGTTAAAGAGAGGGCTCAAAATTTGGGCCTCTTAGTGGATCGTGAATATTACAAAAAGGGTCCCAAAAGGCAAGCATGCACAGAGGGGGAAATTAACAAAGCAAATCTGGAGAGCAACTGGGCCTAAAATTGACCCATGTGTTTTGAAGCCCAACCCCTCCATCTCTATAAATTATTTTGACCCACTAATGGTAGAACTAGAAGCTTCCTTCTCAGAAGGGCCCAGTGTTAAACCTCCTTCACCGTGACTCAGAGGTAGACGACGAAGGAGAAAAGGTTCTGCAAAAAATCTGCAGGAAAATGCCACAATCAACTGAAGCTGTTGACAGTTCAGATGTCGAGCTCTTTTCTTGCGACACACTTGCTCTCCCATGGTATGAACAAGGCTCTTCAAGCATGCAAGTAATTGATACCCCAAATATTTACGAGCATACAAGATGGACAAAGGCTGTGATGTTAAAGGCATGCAAGGCTTTTGGGGTTAACGTAGAAGGGTTTGAACATGAGATTATGGGCATCATCCTCCGAATGGATCAAAAGCGGCAAATGCAGCCACAGAAACAAAAATCACCAGGCAGGGAAAAGAGAAGGGGTAAGAAGAAGCAAAAACAGAATTGGAAAGACTGAAATGGGGCCTAAATTACGAGGGTAAAAGGAAAGGGGATAGGGACAGGTTTTACAAAGCTTTTTCTAGATGAAAGTAAAAATATTAAGCTGGAACGTGCGTGGATTGAATGAAGCTGATAAAAGGACTAGAACTTCATCACTGATTAAGAAGTGGAAGCCGGATATTGTTTGTTTGCAAGAAACAAAAATTGAAGAATTCCCAGTATCCCGGATTAGGCAAATATGGGGTAATCGATGGGTTGAGTGGGCAGAGCTGAAATCTGTAGGTAACAGTGGAGGAATTATCATCCTATGGGACAAAAGACAATGGGCAAACAGGGATACTCATCAAGGTTACTACACTCTATCATGCATGCTAGAAAGTCTGCATGAACAATTCAGATGGTGTTTTACAGGGGTGTATGGCCCACACACAAATCCTGAAAGAGAGGAACTATGGCTAGAATTTGCAGCAATCAGATCTATCTGGAATGAGCAATGGGTTATAGGGGGTGATTTCAATGTTTGTAGGTATGAAAGTGAACGATACAATTGTGTTAGAAGGTCCAGGGCCATGGTATACTTCTCAGACATCATTCAAGACCTGGGTATTATAGATTGCCTCTACAAGGAGCTTATTATACCTGGTTCAGAGGTGAAGGCTCATTGCAAGCTTCGAGAATAGATAGGTTCTTAATTTCCCCTGAATGGTGTGACAGTTTCAAAGCTATCAAGCAGCTAGCCCTCCCAAGAGTGATCTATGATCACAGACCCCTACTCCTTGAGTGTGGTGACTGGGAAGCCACCCCCTCTTATTTCAAATTCGAGAATATGTGGCTACAGGTGGAGGGTTTCATTGATAAGGTTAAAAATTGGTGGCAGAGCTATGTGATAGGAGGCAGCCCAAATTTTATACTTATGCAGAAACTGAGAAGGCTCAAGGCAGACATCACTAATTGGAACAGAGAGGAGTTTGGCAGACTGGAAACACAAAAGACTAAACTAGTGGAGGAGTTAGCAATGCTGGAGCAAACAACAGAGAACAGGACCCAAACACAAGTTGAAAAGGAGAAACTAATGCAGATAAGAGTGGAATTACAGCAAATAGCAAAGGTTGAGCAGTTCTCATGGAGACAAAAATCAAGATGTTTATGGCTTAAAGAAGGTGACAGGAACACTAAGTTCTTTCAGAAATGGCTAACTCCCACAGAAGGAACAATTACATTGACAGACTGAAGATAGGGGAGGAAATCACCGAGGACCAAGAATCCATCAAAGCTAAAATCCTAAGCTTTTATCAGGGGCTCTATTCAGAAAGTGAGCAATGGAGGCCTAGTGTCAACTTTGAAAACTTAGCTAGGATCTCGATGGATGAAGAAGTGTGGCTGGAAAGAGCCTTTGAAAAAGAAGAAGTGATGGCAGCCATCAATTCTTGTGCACCAGATAAAGCCCCAGGGCCTGATGGCTACACAATGGTTTTTTACCAAAAAACTTGAAACTTTATCAAGCCGGACATTATGGCAGCAATCAACCATTTCCACCATAACTGTCATATGGTAAAGTCTAGCAATGCCTCCTTCATTGCACTTGTCCCGAAGAAAAAAGGTGCAGTAGAGCTCAAGGACTTTAGACCAATAAGCCTTATTGGAAGTGTGTATAAGATAATGGCTAAACTTCTGGCATAAAGAATGAAGACAGTGATGGGGAAGCTAATCTCAGGGGAACAAAATGCATTCCTAAAAGATAGACAGATAACTGATGCAGCTGTTATTGCAAATGAGCTGCTAGATGAGAGACTTAAAAGTGGAGTCCCTGGAATCCTATTTAAACTAGACATAGAGAAGGCATTTGATCAAGGCAACTGGTCGTATCTTCTGTCAACACTAAGGGGAATGGGATTTGGTGAAAGATGGATAAGGTCGATCAAGTTCAGTCTAACCACTGTCAAATACTCAGTCCTCATCAACAGATCTCCAGTTGGCTTTTTCTTCCCTCAGAAAGGGATTAGGCAGGGAGACCCTCTCTCGCCTTTTCTTTTCATCATAGCAATGGAAGGTTTGAGCAAAATGTTTGATAAAACAAGGCAATTAGAATGGATTGAAGGGTTCAAGATAAGCAGCAACTCAGGGAATTCAATCTCAATCTCCCATCTGTTAAACGCAGATGATACACTAATCTTCTGTGGGGCTGGAAAACTGCAGTTGCAATACCTCAATCTAACCCTCCTTATTTTTGAATCTATTTCAGGTCTACACATAAACGTGTTGAAAAGCATGATATATCCTGTCAATGCGGTACCTAACTTAGACGAGCTGGCTGGTATAATGAGTTGTGACATTGGCTCATTTCCTACTACCTACCTCGGACTACCCTTGGGAGCAAAACATAAGTCAGTGGAGGTGTGGAATGGTGTGATTGAGAAAGTGGAAAAAAGGTTAGCAACTTGGCAGATGCAGTATCTGTCAACGGGTGGAAGGGTGACTCTGATCAACAGTGTTTTGGACAGCATAGCAACCTACATCATGTCCCTATTCCCTATGCCAAGTAAAGTCCAAAAGCAGCTAGACAAATTGAGAAGATCCCTTTTATGGGAAGGTAACAGTGAAGGTCACAAATTCCATTTGGTGAAGTGGGCAACTGTAACTTAACCAAAGTCACTAGGTGGTCTGGGCATTAGAGATCTTTCAAAACACAACAAGAGTTTGCTAATGAAGTGGCATTGGAGATATGGGAAAGAAGGCACAAGCTTATGGAAGGAAATAGTTAAAGCCAAATATGGTCACCTGGATAATTGGAGTATCAGAACCACAAGAGCTCCTCATGGGGTTGGGCCCTGGAAGCACATCAACAGCCTAAAAGAAGTCTTCCAACAAGAAGTGTCCTTCAAAGTTGGTAATGGAGCACATGTGAAATTTTGGAAGGATAAGTGGCTAGGGAACTTCACACTTCAAGAAACTTTCCCCACTCTATTCCACCTAGCTACTGATCCTAACTCAACGGTCGCACAGAATAGATCCAACAACACTTGGGAGGTCCTTTTCAGGAGAAACATACAAGACTGGGAGATAGAAGAAGTGCTTGACCTACTTGGAAGGTTAGCAAATTGTACAATGAGTATCCAGCACACGGATAAGCTACGATGGGGCACTTCTAAGGAAGGGGCATATACAGTGAAGGCAAGCTACAATAAACTTTGTGCTTTGAATGAAGTTATTGACCTGTGGCCTTGGAAGCTAATCTGGAAAACCAAAATGCCTATAAAGGTCAGCTGTTTTGCATGGACGACTCTTAAAGGTGCTATTTTGACACAAGACAATCTTTGTAGGAGGAGCTTCCAGATTGTTAATAGATGCCACATGTGTAAGCTAAACTCAGAATCAATCAATCACCTATTTCTGCATTGCACAGTGGCTATTGATCTCTGGCACATGTTCTTCTCAATTTTTGGTATCAGCTGGACACTACCCCAGAACATTAAGGAAGCAGTTGAAAGCTGGAGCTTTTGGAAAGTCAGCAAGGCCAGCCATCAAAAGTATCTGGAAAATGGTCCCAGGTTGCATATTTTGGTGTCTTTGGACAGAAAGGAATCGAAGATGTTTTGATGGCATTTCAACTCCTATTCACTTTTTGAAAGCTAGATGTCTGGTGTATCTTTTTAGTTGGAGTAATATCTCCCCTGTAAATAATGTTATCCCCTTTCTAGACTTTATTGGCTCAATGAGCCTAGCTTGATGGCCCATTTTTTTGGTTAGCTCCCTATGATTAGAATAGCACATGATGTACTGGAGCTAACATCTCTTCTTTTGTATTAATTGCATCTTCTTGATGCCAGCAATACAACACCTTACTTCATCAAAAAAAAAAAAAAGATAAATCACGTTTTTGTAGCACGAACTTAGAAAAACTAATTACCAATTTTTTTTTCCAGCATATTGAGCCTTTTAAACAGGCCTTACATAAAATTGATGAGGTTAAGAAAAACTAATCTTAATTAAATTCGAATAGGAATAATGTTAATACAAACCTATTCTAACTACAATAGGAAAAAAGAATTCTAGTAGGAATGTGATACCAACTAACAATCCTAGTTTGACTAGAACTACAAATATAATCCTACTAAAACAAGAATCAAATTACTAGGAAACAAGAAATAAGGAATCCTAATCTTATGGAAAAGAAATCCTAATCTTGAATGGATGTTTGGACTACTTGAATTTCTTGAATTCTTAGTCTTCTTGATCTTGCATCATGTCCTCAGTAAGCTGAAGAAGCACTATATCATGCCTACCACCTCTCCCCAGTACTTCTTAGGTCTATCCCGTCCCTTCCTTAGACCCACTATGTGCAATCTCTCACACCTCCTTACTGGGACATTCATGCATCTCCTTCCCACATACCTGTACCATCTCAGCCTCACTTCTTGTAGCTTATCCTCTACGGGGCTACCCCTACTTTGTTCCGAATATCTTCATTATTGATCTTGTCTCTCCTAGTATGCGCACACATCCACCTCAACATCCTCATTTCGCTACTTCCAACTTCTGGACATGAGAGTTTTTAATTGGCCAACACTTCGCCTCATATAATATAGTAGGTCCTGTAGAACTTATCTATAAGTCTTGGTGGCACATTCTTATCACACAAGACACCATAAGCAAGCCTTCATTTCATCCATCCTGCTCCAATACGACATCCCCATCAATCTCCCAGTCAACTTGGATTACTGATCCAAGATGCTTGAATCCATCCCGCTTGGGGGTGACCTAAGTGTCAAGCCTCACCTCCACTTCATCCTCATGAGTTACTCCACTTAACTTACACTTAATGTACTCCGTTTTAATCTTGCTCAACTTGAACCCTTTAGATTCTAGGATTTGTCTCCATACCTCCGGCCTCGTGTTAACTCCATCTCGCGTCTCGTCAATCAGCACTATGTCATCTGCAAATAACATGCACCAAGGCACCTCCTCCTGAATGTGCCACGTTAATCCATCTATTCTTTTACTTTGAAAGCAATCGAAAATCTTATAGCTCAATGTGATTCCCAAAAGACTTTGTAGGACTTCACGTGTAGTGGAGCCTGTGATGTTCAATGTTTTACAACATTTTTCTTTCTCCATTTTAGTTTCTGAAGTTAGTTATTTGCTGTATACTCTCTGCATGAAAGTTGATGATTATGTTATTTCTTGGAACTGCAGGTAGAAGTTAACATCCACCAGTTCTTTAAGGGGTATATGGAAGGTCGATTTGATGATGCTGGCTGGCCCCAGATTCTGAAGTTGAAAGATTGGCCTCCATCTGATCTATTTGATGAACGATTACCTCGTCATGGTGCGGAATTTGTTAGCAGTTTGCCTTTTAAGGAGTACACACATCCACAAAGCGGCTATCTAAATCTTGCTGTCAAACTGCCAAAAGAGTCGTTGAAGCCTGACATGGGACCAAAGACATATATTGCTTATGGAGTTCCTCAGGAGCTGGGGCGCGGAGACTCTGTGACTAAGCTGCATTGTGATATGTCTGATGCGGTATACCTGCGCTTTCCGTCCGCTTCTTTTTTTTGATTGCTTAGGTTTTTCTCTCTTTCTTTTGCATATAATACTGCACGGTTAGGGGTTTTTCTTGAACTTGAATATAATGTAGACATATTCATGCTATGCAGTTTATTTGCAAGGATTGCTGTAACCTTGACTAATCCCACTAGGTTGTTGTTGTTGCTGTAACCTTGACTTCAGTTAAAACTAAGAGAAGCTAGGTAAACTGGTTGTACATGCTTACCCATGAATTGAAAGTCCTGAACATGTCTCCCAGAAGCTAAATTGATCTTAGGTTCTCTAATGTGGTTGAACTTATGCTTGAGACTTGAAGAATAAATGGTCATACGTTCTGTTACACTCCTTACTGAGGGATATTTAATGTCTGCTTGAAGGGTGTATTTTAATATATTGCAATTCATTTATCTACCCAACGAGTGATACTAAACTGTTAACTATGTGTTTTCTTATGTTGTCAGGTTTCTCTGTTAAAGTTAGTTGCTTTCAATTTATTTCGTAGGTGAATGTGTTGACACATACTCAAGCAATAACCTTGAAGCATGACCAGCTTTCAACAATGCAAGAATTGAAAATAAGGCATGCTGCTCAAGATAAAAGGGAACTTCAGATGTCTGAGGACGAGAAAGAATGTGAAAATGAAGCATCATCTGAGTTGATTGAGGGTAACTCTGTCCTAGGTGAGAGACATAGTAGAATAGATAAAGGAAAAACTGATGTACTTCCAGATCAGAGCTTGAGTATTGGACCACATAGTGACAATCAATCAATTGTTGCATCTGCTTCCTGTGTCAAGCCAGAGGGAGATACTAATGCTGAGGTGGCAACAGATGGTGCAATCGATACGACAAGCACTTATGAAGCAAGTGGAGGAAATAAGATTGATCATGGTAAAAGTGATGAGTGCAAAAATAACCCAGTGTTTAGAGAAGGTGAAGTATTTGAGGATTTAGAAGGTGGTGCACTCTGGGACATCTTTAGAAGGCAAGATGTTCCAAAGTTAGAGGAATATCTCAGGAAGCACTTTAGAGAATTCAGGCATATCCACTGTTCCCCGGTGCCACAGGTATTAATAAAATTTACTAAGCTTTTTACTTAGAAATGTGAAAGAGAGTATAATTTTTTTTTTTTTAGGGGGGGGGGGAGGGGGGGAGGATTATTTTTTTTGGTTATCCTGTTTCTTTCTTTCACATGTTCCAGAGCTCTTCATCATAGTTTTGACTAATCAACGGTTACCTGTAACTGAGTCTGAAATACATTACATGTCGGTAGAACTGAGGCCAAATCTAATTTGTAGCAGAGGCAGAAGAAAAGAGCCTAGATAGTGTGCAGTTTCAGCAAGAAAGCCGGAGTCTAAATTCCTGAATTGATGTGCTGAAAATATTCTTTCAGCTATCCAGTCTGAGAGTGAGGGGAAACAGGAATGCTACACCCTAAAACGATCACCTATTTTCACCTTTTCAACCAATTCATCATGTTATTTACCTTTACAAGACAATGAGCTGCAATTACTGCTGCTCTTTTGTATAGGCAGCTTTCGAATCTGTTTGCTCGCCTAGGAAACAAGAAGCTATCATGTTAGATCATGTGATATTTACATTTTGGACAAGGTTCTTTGCAATATGGGACATCAGTTTTTCCAAGATAGAGATCAAGCATAATTCTAAATCTTCCAACTGGTTTGACTTATGCGTAGTTGTTGTTCTACTAGAGGGGTTTGGGTGGTTTCGAAACTCAATCTTTCAAAGTTCGGATGAGGAAACCATTTACGACAGATGTTTCTCTTGTTCAAACCCGTAAAAGTGAAGTTTGGTTCAGTCTTTATGATATCTATATGAAGATGGTTTTGTTAGATTTTGGTTCTGTAGAAAATGCCTATCACTTCATTTTCTTCCAATGTTAAAGAGTTTTTTGGTCTATGTCGGGGTCCTTATCCTTTAATATGAAATGTTAATTGTTACATTTTTTATCCTTATGATCTGCTATGCCTTCTGTATCTATCAACTTTTTGGTCTTGTAGGTTATTCACCCTATACATGATCAAACGTTTTACTTGACTGAGGATCACAAAAGGAAGCTTAAGGAAGAGTATGGTTAGTGTTCCGTATATGAATTTCATAGCTTGAGTTCTACCTATTTAACGAGTAAAATTCTTTGTTTTTCCTTCTAATGGCTTTGTATATATTTTGTATTTTGCAGGAATTGAACCATGGACCTTTGTTCAAAAATTAGGTGATGCAGTTTTTATTCCTGCGGGCTGCCCTCATCAAGTTAGAAATTTGAAGGTGCGGGTGACTCTCTCCCTCTCTTTCTCTGTCTCACATGCACCCACACACACACACACAAAAACTCGCTCACACACTTTGCTATGATCTAAGTTGCTCGGACATGGGTGTGTGTCCGACAAGGGTGCAAATCTAGAGGTCGGATCCTAGTATGGATACAGATGCGGGGATCCGGCTAAAAATAATTCAAAAAATAAAATATCTCTAGATTATGATAAATTTTGTGGAATACTTATGTATAGCTTGTAAAATGTAGATTTCTGTTTTATTTTCAAGTTGTAGATAAGTAAAGTATTGATTTCCTAGATAAAGTAGGCTATTTTCTTCAAATTTACCTAGTTTTGGTTCTGATTTTAGGAATCTAATTTTATCTCGTCTCGAATCTTTCCTTCTGTTATGGTCAAAGTACCCAAAATTGTTTGTCAAGATTCGGTACGGATTCCATACCCACACCCTTCATAGTGTCGCATCGACATGTGTGCGACACCTAAATTGCCGTGTTGGAGCAACTTAGGCTATGATTGAAGTGTAGTTAGCTATGTTGGCATGAAAATTGCACGGGGCGCCCTATTTGGTCGACCCATTTAACCTATGCCCATTTTTTAAAAAAGTTTTAACTTGTACCTACTTTTTAAACAACTTCAGCCCCCTTTCTCCTCCTTCTTCTCCTCCTCAAAGTTATATCCGCCCTCAACCTCTTTCTGAAATCGCACTGCACAGATTGTATTTCTGTCAGTGCAGAAGAAATAAATAAGAAAAAAATTGGAATATACAGTGCAATTTCGCATCATAAATGCCTCTCCGAAGAATATCGTGACTTTTTTCATGTTTCACGGTTTTTCCATTAACTGTTGCATAATCCATCATTACAGTAAATTACTTTCATTGCTTGTTTCGCTGTTCAGTGATGGAGTTCAGTAAGATGATGCTGGAAATCTTCTCGAAGTTAGAGCAGAAATGGCTGTATCATTATGGAGGGAAGAAGACTCTAGAGCTGAAGTTCGCCAGTTACAAACAAAAACTTCAGCTCTAGAGCTAAAGTTTAACAGTTACAAAACAAAAACTTCAGCTCTAGAGCTGAAGTTGAACAGTTACAAAACAAAAACTTCAGCTCTAGAGTTGAAGTTCGCCAGTTACAAAACAAAAACTTCAGCCAGTTACAAAAACAAAAACTTCGCCAATTACAAAAACAAAAACTTCAGCAATTACAAACAAAAACTTCAGCAAATAGAGAACAACACTTCAGCTACTATGCTTAAGTTCAGCAATTACAAACAAAAACTTCAGCACACTTGGTTCAGCACACTTGCTACTTCAGTCCCGTCTACTAGAATGCTGAAGTTTTGCATGATTGCCTTTGCTACTTCAGCCCCGTATGTTGAAGTTACGAGAAAAAGAAGGTACGCTTGCAATTTTTTTTGCAAAGCGGGCACAAGTTAAGACGTGACCCAAAAAATGGGTATAGATGCAAATCCCCCTATGTTGGCTATAACAAAAATCACTATGATTGAACGTTGGAGATTTCAATACAAAGTTCTTCCATAGACTAACAATTCTAGTAAGAGAAAGTTGATTGGCGGAATAAGCGGCACAATGGTTGAGGACGAGGATGAGGTTAAGTTCAAAGGAGTAGAGTTGGAGGTTAATGTTTGGTGAAATAGAATTTAGCCTGAGTGAGTGGGTGAACAAGGGAGTAGTTGGATATTCATATAGTGATAGAAGAGATACATGTTGGTAACAACACAAGGGTCGGGTAGGTTGATTTTAGCCTTTTCGAGAGTTGAGTTTGCTACACTTGCATTGTTTTAGGTCTCCGGGTAGTTTTGAAAAGAGTCTATGCAACTTCCATCGCAATTATATGCCAAAGGGGCAGCGACCTATATAGACATACCTATTAAGCTAAAAAATGTATTTGAGGAAGTTGCGTTAAATTCTTCACGAGGAGCATTGAACAAAAACCAAATTGTCGTAAACCCAAAAAGTGGAAAAGTTGGGAAAATATTAGGCGGGTGACAAAAGAAGTACTTGGTTGAAAGGGGTAATCAAATACTGATCAAGAGTACACTATCAAGCTTTATTACTTATTATGTCCCTTATGCATGCATTGCTTAGTGTGGTTGAAAAGCTAAAAGAGGTTTCAAAAAAGTCTCTCGTGGGAAACAATGAAAATGCAGGACAAAGCTGTGTACTATAGACCCTTGTGGTCCGGCCCTTTCCTGGACCCTGTGCATATCGGGAGCTTAGTGCACTGGGCTGCCTTTTTAATTAGTGGTGGTTACCTCCTAAAGGTTTAAGCTAAGAGTAAATGCTTTGAGATTTAATATAGCAAGGTTAGGTAAGTAAGCTTCGGTAAGGAGGATCAGACTTTATGGAGGATAGTGATTTTGGAGAAGTGCGGAATACATGATGGTAGATGGAGGTTCTTGGAACAATTTTACTATGGAGGAAGATCATGGAGGGATGTAAAGTATTAACGACAACATCATCTTTAAACTGAGAAAATGAGAACAACATTTAGAAACACATGTTTGTGGTACTAAGGGTTGTTTTCCTATCTATATAGCATATTGAATATCGAGTTAGAAGGAGATGCCAATGTCAATTTAGTAAATCTATAATTCACAGGATAGTGGAGTGCTTTGGGATTCACGAGAAAAATATATGATTGGAAAGCAGTTTATCTTTTAAACGTGATGGAATTACCCTATGAAACAACATAACACAGTCATAGTTTTGCATGTAGAATTGAAATGGATGTGAAATAAAATTTTATCTATGAAGTACTTACCATTTGTTACTAAAAAGTGAGAGTTTGAAGTTCCAATACTTATTTGTTTGGATTCCAAGAGCACATATGCCTTTTCATGTAGATGGCAACTAAAGGAATGCTTTTAGTGGTAAGTATGAGTACAAATGAAGATAATGTATGTTTGCTGCTGTTGCATGTGCGGCAGTGGAAAGAGGAGGAGAAGCTTTAGAGGATACACATGTTTGGAGTGTATAAAATTTACATGTTTGGAGTGTATAAAATTTACAAGCTTGATTATAAAAGTTGCTTGTTCCTCCATTCCAATTTGTGTGGCAACATTTCTTTTAGTTCGTTTTAAAAAGAATAACAACTTTCTAAATTTGTAAACAATCGAACTTAAACTTCTTTTTTACCCTTAATGATAATATCTTGCAGGACATAAATTTTATGGAATATTTTAAATAGAGCTGTCAATATGGGCAGGGCCGGGCTAGCCCCGCCCATCCTACGTGAGCTTTAGCAATTGATGGTTGGGCTGGGCTAGCCCACCATTTTGATGGGCTTTATAATGGTTAGCTCACCCCAGCCCTTTGTGGGCTGCGGGCCCCCATGGGCGGCCCATTATTTTTTAAAATATAAACTTTATTTTTTCTTTAGGTTTTAACCTAAAAAAAAGATAAATATTTAAAAGCTTAAAAAATCTTATTGGAAATGTTTGACAAAACTTAATGACTCTTTATATTATTCTAATATATCATAATAAACACTAAAAAAGTAAAAGATAAGACTATATTTCATTTACTAAAAGTCAAAACTCAAAACAAACAATTCAAGAGAACGTCCATGACGCTTATGGGATATCCAATACATCATCTTCATCAAACACATTTGAATAAGCGTGTGATTATGGGATATCCAATACATCATCTTCATCAAACACATTTGAATAAGCGTGTGAGAAAGTTGTCTTAACATCGTCACTTTCATCTACATCTACATTTCTTATGCAATATTAATTAGTTAAATATTAAGATTAATTTTTAAAACTAATTAATGTTTTAAGACAATTGAGCTTAATAAACTTTAAGCTTGTGATACTCTTCTTGTTATTTTTTTTTGTCGTATACTTTTTATATTTTATATATTTTAAATACGTATTTTTATTTAGGCCTACGGGCCGGCTCAGCCTGGCAGCCTAGCCAAGCCTCACGGGAAAAAACATAACTAGATAATATCTAAGAAAATTTTACAAAATCCTAGCAACAATCAGTAATTAACAAACACGACAGCTAATTATCTGCATTTCTGGCCGAAATATTTAAAGCTACACCAATTCGATTCCTAAATTATCGCCCATATTATCATATCATCTCCCATAACGGCTAAGTATATTATCAAGAATTATTTTACGGAGAATCTATAATGCATTATCAAAATTTACGCCCTATTCATTCCTTTGATATCTCTTTCTTCTACAACGCAAACACAAACTACAATCGTCTATTTATACTTCAATTATCATATTATTGTTGTTTCATAACCTAATAAATAATTTTTTAATAATAAATATTTGTGGTTTAAAGAAGTATATCTAATACACACACACACACACACGAAGACTCTATCATTTACATATTACTATATATACTATGTATATTTATACATATCTAGTGTATTACTATTAATTACATTGTTATTAGTGGTATATCCATATTATACAATAACTTGAACATAGGTTTTTAATCATACATTGATTGACTAGATGAATATACAACTTATTTTCGGAGTATATTAAAGAGTATACAACTTATTTTTGGAGTTTATTAAATTATCGGCCAACAACTCTCTTTAATACGAGTACACATGATTTTGTTTGATACAAAACATATATATATACACACACACACACACACTGGCACTCAATTAAAACACAAAAAGATATTTTCAAAAATTACATCTTGGTAAACAGTAATAATACATAAGATTATAATTCAACTACATAAAATATACGTAGTAAAATTTATTCAATCGAAGCAAACTTCTTGAACAAAATCTTCAAAGGAATTGAAAAATGATTAGGGTCGGTTTGGTGCTCGCCATGCATCCTTCTATTTGTTCGAACTTTTGAGAACCAAGACTTCTTTTTCTTTTAGTTTTCTTCTCTCTGTTGTCTTGATCTATCTCTAATTTTTTGTTTTGTGCGAGGCCTGTTACTGAAAGGCAGCCATGGTTTCCTTGTTTCTTTTTTCTC